CGGGATAATTTTCTTGTGGAGCAGGGTCTCAAATTGTGCTCAAGGTAATAAAAATATAAAGGGATTAAAGACAAGTGTTTCATATGTAAGATGTAAGGGAACTGGGTGAATTTTTGTCCCTAGCGTTGAGTTCGGAAATAGTCAGAAAAGAACTTCAAAGCAGGGTTGAAAAAGTTCACGATATATAACGAAGCTCAACAAGGGAAAAGTTTGCGAGTCATAGTGAGTTTTGGTGAATATTTTCAACACTGCTTCTAAGGGTGAGAAAATATCATGGAGTAAATCGAGCAAACTTGCTTAAACATTTAACCGATTAAGCAAGCCTTGTTTGTAGATTTATATCGAAATGGTTGCAGTTTTCTTCACACATCGCTATTGATCATGAATTGAACTGATTACCAGGCTCTTACCACGATTAAAAGTTGTGAATTTAGAAAAATGCGGTGCCTTTCCGTTTTTCCGTTTTTTGTCTTTTCTACATTCTATAAAATGTATCGAACGCTTTATTCCATTTGAGATTGTACTGGACCACTCTTCATGGGTTGGAGTAGATGTCCTCGTGGTATTTTACGAATAAAATGTACAGAAAGCACTACCCAACTAACAATTTTGACTGCAGACTAGCTTATACATAAAAAAAATTGCCTTATGCTGCTAATTTATGCCTGTAAAGGCTGGTCTGCAGCTAAAATTGTTTGTTGGGTAGCACATATCTGAGGAAAGTAATAGCTGATGAGGTCGTGTTCACAGATCCATGTGGACACTGCGCCTGGATTTTGTTTTTGGAAAACTCCTGGAAAATCAGGGAATATCAGAGAATTTTGTTTTATTCATTGAGTCGACACCCTGAATCAGTAGAAAACAAATGTCCTAAAATTCTCAAGAACTGTTCAAGAAGTTGTCAATGCTACTAGACTCTTGCAGTTATAAGGTTCTTAGACTTCCCAAGGGTTCTAAAGCAGGGTGTCTAATATCTTGAAAAACCTGCAATCCTCAGGGAATTTTATTTTTCCTGGAATTGTTATGGAATTTTAAATCCTAGTATCAAATAATTCATAAAAATCTGATTATAATACATTGAAGTACGCCAAAGAACATTCACAAGATTTTCAGAACATTTTATAAACTTTCAACTTTATCTTCGTCGTTTTTCGCTTTTACTCATTCAGCATAATAATTCTGCAGTGGATTTATATTCAGTAGCAACATATATTCTGAAACTTGAATTGGGTTTTAAGGTTATTTATGTATTTATTTATTTATTTATTTATTGTAATTCATCTGACACTAGTTGTCTTAGATAATACACAAATAAGCAACAGTTAAACAGATTAAAAAAAATAATCACTATCTTCTTAATCGGTTTCGAAATTGGTTCGGTGTTTCTCCGAATTCAAATACTTCTTCCACAGCGGAGAATGCCATCCTTTGAGGAACACGGAAGTTATATTGTGAAAGCAGTTGAGGGCAGTCCACATCGCCATTCAAAAGTTTCGCTACAAATAAGGCTGGTTGCATTTTTCTTCTGTGTTCAAATGTGTCCAGGTCCAGTAGCATGCATCGATCTGCATAAGGTGGTAAATTCATTGGATCGCGCCACGGCAGGCTGCGCAAAGCCAACCTCAAAAATCTTTTCTGAACACGTTCTATTCGGAGATTCCACACTTGCCCATATGGAGAGCAGACCACAGATGCATTCTCAAGTATGGGCCGAACTAAAAAGTATTTTTGTGCCTTCAAGCAGTGAGGGTCTTTGAAATAAATCCCAGTTGACGACTCGCCACCAAGACCAGTCATACGTTTTACTCTGCGAAGCGTTACATTGTCAATGCAGCAGTCGTAAAGGATTGAACTCTTAGAGCGGTAAAACGTCTTCACTGCACACTTTGGAACGCTGATGATGAGCTTATTGCGACGGCACCACTCCACAAACAAATCTAGCAGAGCTTGAAGACGATGACAATCCTCAATCGAGTGAACTATGACGTATAGCTTAAGATCATCTGTATAAACGAGCTTGCATTTAACTCATAACGAGCAACTGAATCCGATCAGTAGCGGTGTGGTTTCTTCCTCCTTCTTCGGTATATTGACCCTCATGTGGGCTGCAGCTCGTTGCTGGCGGACAGCCTTTCGTTGTGTACTGGAGAACAATGTTCAACGCCACACGCCTAGTGCTGCTGCTGATGACGACCGACCGGACACCACCACACATGGTGATTGAATAAGCACCGTTCGGCGAGACCGGATGGAATTCGATTTTGTGAATCTGTGTTAGGGAAAACGCTTTTGGCAGGCAATCGGCGATAATTTAGATCACCATTGCAACAGTTGGACATTTGTTTAATGTTTAATAGCGAACTATTGAAAATTGATAAAGTGTACAGTTTAGCAGATTCGTAGAAAAATTTCCAATAGATTGGCATCTTTAGAATCAAAATCCACCCGCTATTGACTGAGTTATAAGTGGTCAAAGCCTGACCATTTTCCGTAACGCGGTCAATATTGGTTTTTTGAAATTGCACCCCCAATATGTTGCCGATATACGTAATCCTACGTCAAAAGCCAGGACACACTAGTAAATACCAGCGAATTTGGTTGGTTAGTTAGTTGGTTTGAGGTAGTAAAGTATATTTCTTAATTTGTAGATTAATATTATTTTAAAGTCCTGGAGTCTTGTTATTTAGTCTAAAATTGGGTATTTTACTTCAAATAAAATTTCTAAACAAGTCCTAAAATTTTCAAAAAATTCAAATGACTGGGATGTTTGAACCCTACAATTATGAAACATTTTCTTAGCCTATGCTGGTCAATGGGGTGAAATGGCTCTAATATTGGCCTATGGATCTAAAGATTGGGCCCATCGATGAAAATCTCCTGTTTTTTCAATTTTTTTTTAGAAAAATGCGTCATCTGGACTAAAAAATGGGTATTTTTAGTTACTAGTAAAACGTTGGCAAAAAGCTTTCCTTCGAAATGTATGTATGGGTCATTTATTAGGGACACTTTGGCCGAAATTAGGGACATTAACCCAATATAATTAATGAATTCTGAAATCCATGCAAATATGTTTATGTATGTCGTTGATCAAAACTGCGCATTTGTTTTTTTAATATTCAAGATTGGGATTTTTCAATTCATCCGAAGCATCAAAAGTATGTTTTAATATGAGTAACATTTTAAGAACTTTACTTCTTCGAGATTTTTAAAAACAAACCAATTCCCAGCATATTTTTGTCCGCTTGATTTCCTATAGTGCATTGTTTCAGTCTTCCTTCTTACCATAGGCCATTGCTCGAACTTTTCTTCGTACACGGCCCATTATCTTATTTGGCTGCCAAATTCCATTTCCGCTTGAAATCGGTCAGGTCAATTGCAGTTCCACCCTTTTCTTCAGTATGCCATTCACAATTGACCAGTATTCCTCAATTGGCCTTAGTTCCGGAGTATTGGCCGGATTCATCTCCTTGGGAACCACTGTGACGCCATTTTCGCTGTACCACTGTTTGGTGGAATTTGAGTAGTGGCAGCATAGGCAATCCACCTCATGCTATTCCAGAAAAGGCAGTAGTCTCTTCCGTAGGCACTCCTCCCGGTAAATTTGCTGGTTCATGGTCCCAGAAGTAACGAAAGTTTCGCTTTTCAGCCCACAACTGCAGAACTTTAGGAACTTTTTGGGGAATTCTGATTTCTTTTTGATTTTACATTCTTCCGGTCAACCGAGTTACAAAATTCCTGTCCAGGAATTTGATCAAAAACTGCCAGGAGCGGATAGACCGGGGTTTTCGTTTCGAGCGTGCAGGATTGAATCGCGACGTGTTTGCTCCGGTGAAGCCATGATGTAAACAAATGAACTTATCCTGACAACCAATGCCTACTGTAATTCTATACACTCTTAGCTTGATTCAGTGAAATTTTGAAAAAAAATACACAGAAAATGCCGTAATGGCAACGTTTTTATTTTTTCCGAATTTTGCTTCAACGTGTTCAACGTTAAGCTTTGATTATCGTTCAAGACGCTCAATAACGTTTATATCTCTAAAATGACAACTCTAATAATCTTATTCTTGTATTGTAACGCCAAAATTGGCCCAAAATAGTCAAAGTTTCTGGATCTAGATTTTCCAAATTGGTTTTGAAATGTCAGAATTACTTCTTAACCCTTTTTTGGAATACTCAACAACGCCCAAAAAATCAATTAATTGCAAAAAACGGCTTTGAGAATCCCTGAATGATTTTGAAATAGGTTGATATTGTCACTTAATCTGGATTAGCTCAACTTGATTTTAAGTTCAGATTGATTTTGCATGAATTTTTAAAATATATGACCAACATGTTTGAATTTCTGCGACCTGAAGGCATCCCGTGACCCACTGGAATAGAGTATAATGTTTGGATACGTAAATTTCTACTTCTTTCAACATTTTCAAACTCTCCAAATCTCAAATCCGTGACTTACCTAATCCTACGACGCCAAGCCTAATTTCAAAATCATCCTTCAATTTCCTTACTCAAAAATACCCGCAGATTTACACACTATGAAAGCATAATTATTACATCAGTCCAGTTGCAAAATGATCCATTAATTATACCATCAGCAAGTGGTGATCCATTTCCCATTCAATCACCACGGACGATTACAGCTCAATAATAATCACCCAGGTCGCCAGAACCAGAACAATTCATCATCCATATTTGTAAGCAGACGAATGAATCGTTTAAATTATACCCCGCTCGTCCCATTAATCAGATCCCGCTGTGGCAGAACGAATCCATCCACTCCGTTATCACAGCGACCGGCAATGAGCCGCATTCACTGTAACTAATCGACCAATTAGCCACGACCGTCTGTCTGACTTCCGCCTCGACACTGAGTAGGTGCACCTACTCAGCCAAGCCTTCTTCCGAGAATCGTTCGCATCGATAACAACACGCACTTGAGCGTACTTCAAAACCGATAATTGCTATTTATTCAAACAATGAGATCATCACAGAACAAGTCAAACTCCCGTCTCCTTTCGGATCCATTCGCGCACGGCAGCCACCCGCGAGTACACCCCTGGGAATCCTTCCTCGGCGCATCCATATCCCCATGAAACGACTCCGATCAGCTTGCCACCGCTGGCCAGTGGGCCACCGGAATCGCCCTGGCAGGCATCCTTGCCACCTTCCCAGTATCCGGCGCAGATCATCCTGGGCGTCACCCCTCCAAAGTCTACGTAAGCCGTTGAACAGCGATCCTGATTGACCGCAGGGACATCCGTCGCCCGGAGCATCGTCGTTGATTCGACCGAACTCATCGTATCGCCCCACCCGGACACTCGACACAGAGCTCCGTCACCTACTTCCTCGTCCTGCTCCGGCAGTTCGATCGGCGCCCGAGTCGAGTCGAATGACATCTCCTCCTTCAGCTCCAGTAGGGAGAAGTCGTAATCGATGATGTTCGGGTCGTACAGCGGATGTTGGATGATGCGTTTGAGTTTGAGCACCTCTCCGCCTTCCTGGCGATTGGTGGATCCGGCGCGAATGGTATACATGGAGTTGGACGACCGGTAGGCACAGTGACCGGCAGTCAGGATCCAGCGTGAACTGATGATGGATCCGCCGCACATGTGCGAACCGCCCCAGTTTCGAAGCGAGATTTGGTATGGGACATCTTCGATGGTAACCTTGAAGCCTCCGACAATGCGACTGGTGGACTTTGGTGTTAGGTGGTTGAAGAGAATCGAAGGGTTCCACCACGGACGAGGGCGTTGGGGCTGTTCCGAGGGAGCTGTTTGAAAATGGAAGAAGAGGGTTGAGATATTTGCTAGTAGATCGATGAGGAGTACTTACCGCAGGAAACACCGACTACAGCGATGGCTAAGCACAGTAGGAATGACTTCATGGCATCGAGCTAGAACCGGACTATGTTGGCAGTAGATTCGAACGCAACTATATATACTAGTTGACCGACACGGAATGTGTCGATTATCTCTGGGATTTCACTGCACTAGGATCAATTCGGACGGGACATTAGATAAGATTAATGCTGCAGTGTCGGGCTGGCTCGGGCTATGAGCTGACCGATAGGCAATATTACCGCCGCCGCCGCGACCTTCCTGAAGGGTTTCGATAAGTAGTGCTTCTTCCGGACGAACCGGTTTTTCCCAGGGCCACAAGCCCTTATCGGAGCGCTGAACTGCGTTCAATTCCGCCGAAGCTGATAAGTGATAAGTTCTTCGCGCCGTCCGAAATGGGTCAACTTTATGCGCCGCACTTCCACGTGTCGGTAATTGCGTCTTTCTCGGTGCAAATGGCGCGTTACGTTGAGTGGGGTGCCCTTAGTCATGAGCAAGATTTCAATAGAGTATGACAACGAATGAATTAGTATTATTTGGATCTGACGACCGGCTGGCAACTCGGGGCATCGAATACCGTGCTTTGGTTTCAATCCACAGGTCACTTCAGTACTTGGGTTGTACAGAAGAATAATTGCACATTTTATTCGAGCTCAAAAAATCCGGAACGTCTTGTTAGTTTCGATGTTTTACATGGCGTATTGGCGTCTTTAGACGTTCTAGCGTGCTTAAGTCTCTTTTGGCGATGTTATCCATTCGAAAAATTTACAATGCTATTTTGGAGTTTGACGATATTGGCGATGTATTGCAAGCTTTGCGTTTCTTGGTGAATTTGGTACATATTTTTAAGGTCTGTTTTGTTATTTTTTTAACTAGTTCGTTTATTTGGAAGGCTCAATCGCGTTAGCTTTACGGAGCCGATAGTTCATTGTTCTTTGTTTGTAACAAAATTCACTTAATTCTATGTCTAGCAGGAGTTGGGCCGAATACTCGCGGCTTACCCGAGGTTAGAGAGGTACATTGTCGAAGGATAGGATCAGGGGAGGAGCCTGGGGGTAAGGTTTCGTTGTCTCATCAGAGTCTAGTTTCGTATGGAGTTCGACCGGCTATGGTGACCAGTGGGCGGCGATGAGACTCATCGCGACGGGGGACAAGACAAACAAACACTATTAAAGAAAGACAAAAGACAAAGGAATTAAATTCTTATAGTTGACATTTGAAGAAACACATAAACCGACTGCATATAAATGTTTTGTTTTTTATAAAGTGATTTAAGAGTTAATAAAGCCACTTTAACGTTGTGTGTTTATTTCCATTTAGGCGTTTTCATGTTGATGTTGGTTCCATTTATGCATTTCAACGTTTTTAGGTGATTTGGGCATATTAAAACCCGTTTTGACGTTTTAAACATTTGGAACCTAGATTGCTGGTGAAGTAACTGCTGGTGGTCCAAGTAACAATTTTCGTTTTATGAGGGTTCTGAAGACCATGATCTAGACTTGTAGCATGCTTTAAAACCTCGATTAGTCTTTCACTGTTACTTGGGTATACATGCTCAAACTTGTTCATGAAACTTGGAATCGTCACTCAAGATTAATTATCAGGTCAATGCAGGCATCATTGCAAGTTTAATTGAGACTTTAAAGTCCAAATCATGACCTATAAGACTATGATAAAACCAAAAGTGTTACTTGGTATTTAAGTTGCAAAAGTGTTCAGGTCAACAAGGTCAACCAGGGCTTACATGATGGCCACAGTAGCAGAACATATCCGAAAAGATTCATGGAATCTACGCGCATCAATTGCGATCCATATCCATTAGGGTGCCAACAATTGTTTTTAAACTGACCATTCACAAACTGTTGATTGCCTCGAAAAAAGCCTCTATGCAAAATTCGAGATTAAGCTGACATGATTTAGGGATGCCACAGAGCTGTTTTTTCTCATCTGAAAAATATTCCAAGGGTGGGGTACATGAAATTTTGGAAATCTTTTTTTTTTGTTATGCCTAATGTCCTAAAAATGTATGTCGAGATCTAGTGCTAAGTCGATTTTTTTTTTATCAAAAATCAACTTTCTTAAACATAGAAAAATTTCGGAAATTGATTTTTTGTTTGCCAAATAACTTGGAAATGCAGAAACGTTACAAACTAGTGTCAACCGTGGGCCGTTTAAAAAATTGTTAAAACTTTAATATTTTTATCTTCGTTAAGGTTCAATTTACTTTGATGCATTTTCGAAAAATTCAAATGCAGTTTTTTTCGACGCATCATTTTGTGTAAAATAGCAAAAAGAATAGAATGACGTGAGCTTTTTGCAATCTGAAATAATGCGTCGAAAAAAACTGCATTTGAATTTTTCGAAAATGCCTCAAAGTAAATTGAACCTTAAAAAGTTCCAGGCATTTCAGGAATGTCGAGAGATCTACAGAAAATTTTAGAAAACCAAAGACATTTTTTGGGTACATTACAGATGTCAACAGTTTTTCAGGGAAGATTGACGATTGTTAAGACAGTTTCATTGATTAATTTAAGGGTAGTACCAAGAACTTCAGGATAGCTTCGAGAACATCAGGGCAGTTCCTTTAACTTCAGGGAAATTTAAGGACCTTTACAGAAGTTCGAAAACATTCAGGGAATTTTCGGAATTTCAGCAAAGTTCTGAAATTTCCTGGGAAGTCCACCGAACTTCAGAGCAGTGATTGAAAAAATAAAAAAAAATTCAAAATCAGGAACAGCCGAAAATCACTGCGGATCTTGAGATCAGCAAAATCACAAACAGAAAATCACGACTGATTTTATCTTTGCTGATCTTGAGAGTAGCAAAATCACGAAGTAGAAAATCAGGGCTGATTTTAGTCTTAGCTGATTTTGAGGTAACAAAATAACCAAACGGAAAATCATTTGCTTGGTATTACACAGCCTTTAAAAAACCGACATCCACCACCATTTTGAAATGCAAGATGGTGGACCATAATCCAGTATGGTGGCCTCCGGACAGCGTTTTGCATCTAAACCCATACAATATGGGTATCTATGGAATCGGCTCGATGAGTAAAAGTGGAAAATCGACATCCGCTACCATTTTGGAATCCAAAATGGCAGACCAAAATTCAATATAGTGGCCTCCGGACAGTGTATATACATCTAAATCCATACAATATGAGTATCTATGGAATTGGCTCAATGAGTAGAATTGAAAAATCGACATTCGGTGCCATTTTGGAATTCAAAATGGCGGACCAAAATCCAATATGGCGACCTCCAGACAGCGTATATGCATTTAAACCCAAGCAATATGGGTATCTATTAATGCGCTCGATGAGTAGAATTGAAAAATCGACATCCGGTGCCATTTTGGAATTCATAATGGCGGACCAAAATCCGGTATGGTAGCCTCCGGAAAGCATAATTCATCTAAACCCATACAATATGGATATCTATGGAATCGGATCGATGAGTAAAAGTAGAAAATCGACATCCGGTGCCATTTTAAAACCCAAGATATTGGACCATAATCCAGTATGGCGGCCTCCGGATAGCGTTTATGCATCTAAACCCATACAATATGGGTATCTATGGAATCGGCTCGATGAGTAAAAGTAGAAAATCGACATCCGGTGCCATTTTGGAATCCAAAATGGCAGACCAAAATCCAATATGGTGGACTCCGGATAGCGTTTATGCATTCAAACCCATGCAATATGGGTATCTTTGGAATGGGCTCAATGAGTAGAAGTGGAAAATCGACATCAACCGCCACTTTGGAATCCAATATGGTGGACAAAAATCCAATATGGTGGCCTCCAGACAACATATATGCATTTAAACCAATGCGATATTGGTATCTATGGAATTGGCTCAATGAGCAGAAGTGAAAAATCGACATCCACCGCCGTTTTGAAAACCAACATGGTGGACCAAAATCCAATATGGCGGCCTCCGGACAGTGTATATGCATTTAAATCCATGCAATATGGGTATCTATGGAATGCGCTCGATGAGTAGAAGTGGAAAATTGACATCCGCCGCCATTTTGAAATCCAAGATGGTGGACCATAATCCAGTATGGCGGCCTCCGGACAGCGTTTATGCATCTAAACCCATACAATATGGGTATCTATGGAATCGGATCGATGAGTAAAAGTAGAAAATCGACATCCGGTGCCATTTTGGAATCCAAAATGGCAGACCAAAATCCAATATGGTGGCCTCCGGATAGCGTTTATGCATTCAAACCCATGCGATATTGTTATCTTTGGCATGAGTTCAATGAGTAGTAGGGGAAAATCGACATCCGCCGCCATTTTGAAATCCAAGATGGTGCACCATAATCCAGTATGGCGGCCTCCGGACAGCGTTTATGCATCTAAACCAATACAATATGGGTATCTATGGAATCGGATCGATGAGTAAAAGTAGAAAATCGACATCCGGTGCCATTTTGGAATCCAAAATGGCAGACCAAAATCCAATATGGTGGACTCCGGATAGCGTTTATGCATTCAAACCCATGCAATATGGGTATCTTTGGAATGGGCTCAATGAGTAGAAGTGGAAAATCGACATCAACCGCCACTTTGGAATCCAATATGGTGGACAAAAATCCAATATGGTGGCCTCCAGACAACATATATGCATTTAAACCAATGCGATATTGGTATCTATGGAATTGGCTCAATGAGCAGAAGTGAAAAATCGACATCCACCGCCGTTTTGAAAACCAACATGGTGGACCAAAATCCAATATGGCGGCCTCCGGACAGTGTATATGCATTTAAATCCATGCAATATGGGTATCTATGGAATGCGCTCGATGAGTAGAAGTGGAAAATTGACATCCGCCGCCATTTTGAAATCCAAGATGGTGGACCATAATCCAGTATGGCGGCCTCCGGACAGCGTTTATGCATCTAAACCCATACAATATGGGTATCTATGGAATCGGATCGATGAGTAAAAGTAGAAAATCGACATCCAGTGCCATTTTGGAATCCAAAATGGCAGACCAAAATCCAATATGGTGGCCTCCGGATAGCGTTTATGCATTCAAACCCATGCAATATGGGTATCTATGGAATGGGCTCGATGAGTAGAAGTGGAAAATCGACATCCGCCGCCATTTTATAATCCAAGATGGTGGACCAACATCCAATATAGTGGCCTCCCGACAGGGAATATGCATCTAAACCCATGCAATATGGGTATCTACGGTATGGGCTCGATGAGTGGAAGTGAAAAATTATCATCCGCCGCCATTTTGGAATTCAAGATGGTGGACCATAATCCAATATGGTGGCCTCCGGATAGCGTTTATGCATCTAAACCCATACAATATGGGTATCTATGAAATCGGCTCGATGAGTAAAAGTAGAAAATCGACATCCGGTGCCATTTTGGAATCCAAAATGGCAGACCAAAATGCAATATGGTGGACTCCGGATAGCGTTTATACATTCAAACCCATGCGATATTGGTATCTTTGGCATGAGTTCAATGAGTAGTAGGGGAAAATCGACATCCGCCGCCATTTTGAAATCCAAGATGGTGCACCATAATCCAGTATGGCGGCCTCCGGACAGCGTTTATGCATCTAAACCCATACAATATGGGTATCTATGGAATCGGATCGATGAGTAAAAGTAGAAAATCGACTTCCGGTGCCATTTTGGAATCCAAAATGGCAGACCAAAATGCAATATGGTGGACTCCGGATAGCGTTTATACATTCAAACCCATGCGATATTGGTATCTTTGGCATGAGTTCAATGAGTAGTAGGGGAAAATCGACATCCGCCGCCATTTTGAAATCCAAGATGGTGCATCATAATCCAGTATGGCGGCCTCCGGACAGCGTTTATGCATCTAAACCCATACAATATGGGTATCTATGGAATCGGATCGATGAGTAAAAGTAGAAAATCGACTTCCGGTGCCATTTTGGAATCCAAAATGGCAGATCAAAATCCAATATGGTGGACTCCGGATAGCGTTTATGCATTTAAACCCATGCAATATGGGTATCTATGGAATGGGCTCGATGAGAAGAAGTGGAAAATCGACATTCGCCGCCATTTTAGAATCCAAGATTGTGGACCAAAATTTACAGATACCAATATTCCATGGGCTTAGATGCATATACGCTGTTACGAAGGATTTAGGTCCGCCATCTTGGATTTGTGGAAGCCATCTTAGGTTGAAATCCACCATTTTAATTTCATCCGGAATGTTGACTTGAATTTCGGAATGCCCCAAACTCTAGAATTTCTAGATGATTTCGATCTTGGTTGATATTGATGCTGGTTGATTTAGGGAATCAAAAATCACGGCTGATGTTGGTCGAAAATCACGTGTAGTTTTCGTGGTGATGATGGCTTGTGATATTGGTGCCTGTGATTTTAGGTGATATTGATCTTGAAAGATAGCTGATTTTGATTTTCTGATCTTGATTTTAGCCAATACTGCTTCAGAGATGTTTAAAGATTTTTGAGCATTTTCATTATTCCAAGTATTTCAAGGAAGCTCAGAGAAGTGCGGAACAGTTCCATTGCTCCATGAATTATGGAGCATTCCAAGAATTTCAGAGAAAAAATTTGCAGGGTTTTGAATCTCAGAAAAATTGTCGAGAAAATTCAGGGAACTTCTGGTAAGTTCAGAAATTTCACATGCTCCATGAACTGCAAGGAAATATAGAAAACTTCTGGAAAGTTGTGAGAATTTTTGAGGTTCAAAGCTTTTTACGGCAGCTCCAATTAAACAGTTCCACGCCAATTGAAGAATCGGAAAAATTCATCCTTCTCCGATTTGCATGACACTTTGCATTATTGTTTGTTATGGGCAAAGATTCCCATTTTTGCTAAAATCCGGCCATTTTGGATTTTATACAATTTTCAAGAGTATGTCTTTTACATTTTTCAATAAATTGTAGCACAAAAACGGCACTTCTGATCGAAATGTCGTCTGAGGCAAAGTAATACAGGAAAATAATATATTTATGGAAAAAATATAAAAACAATGTTATGTAAAAACATGTTAAAACTTTAATATCTCAAAATGGCTTTGTCCGATTTTTGAAACATTTTTCTTTAAAGAAAGCTCATGGAAAATGCAAATTTTTGGAATGTTGAAATCGTAGAACACGAACTTTAGATCAATTTTTTGAACTTTTTGTTAATACGATTTTTCATGTAATTCCCAGAAAGACATTATTGTTTGCTACAACTTTATCTTAGACGTGATAAAATCCCATTCATGCGCTGAAATTTTTTAAATTAAGATCTGCGCAACAACTAAATTAAATGCACGGTGGTTTAAGCTTAAGCACATTGATTTACACCACGGAGTAACAAAAAGAACTATTTTTAATTTTTATTTATATAGGGTTAACAACCCCATTTCCAGCCTATTAAGAACAACCCGCACTTAGTATTTCTTAATCTAGCGCAGTTCAGCACCAAACGGAATGTTATTATTACTGATGGCTTCCAAATTTATTTACCTTTCCGTATGTACCGTAAGATTTGATGAAGAGAAACCAATCGTTGAGATATTGGCAAAAGTCTAACAATGCTTCTTGACGCCAAACTCGGCTTACGGATTCTAAACTCGGCCTAACGCATTGAAACGCCATTCAAACGCCAATGAATTCACTTCGGCCTATCGGATGAAGATAAAAATTGATTTGGTCAGAGCGCTTCTTTTGTTTTTGGGAATAATGGGTGCAAATCACCATATCACGCGTTCTTATTGGCTTAGTTCCGTATCTTATTAACTAAAGTATCGTACCAAACGCATAATTGACCTGTTAACTCTGAAATCATGGATTTATTTTAAGTTTTCTGCTCGATAGGCCCAAAATGGGCGATTAGGCCGAAATAGTTCTCTACCCTATTCGTCTTCATTTAAAAAACTGACAGCTTTGTTTCTAATTCTAGAAGTCCTAATTTGAAACCGTTCTTCCATTGGACTGGCAGCAATCATCACATCACAATCAATACAGTCGCAATATCACATTCAATCGATCGATTACTGCAAACTGCATACGATGCCGATAGTTACAAACCAAGTCCTCCCCATTCTCAGAATCCCGTCTCCTCCCGGATCCAATCGCGTACGGAAGCCACCCGCGAGTACACCCCTGGGAATCCTTCCTCGGCGCATCCATATCCCCATGAAACGACTCCGATCAGCTTGCCACCGCTGGCCAGTGGGCCACCGGAATCGCCCTGGCAGGCATCCTTGCCACCTTCCCAGTATCCGGCGCAGATCATGCTCGGCCTTACGTTTCCGAAGCCTTCGTAGGTTCTATTGCAGCGATACTGGTCGATCACATGGACATACACCGCCCGGAGTATCGCCGTTGATTCGGACCAAGTCTTCGTATCGCCCCATCCGGACACTCGACACCGAGCTCCGTTATTAACTTGCTCATACTGGGCCGGCAGGTCGATTGGACTCCGAGTCGAGTCGAACGGCATCTCCTCTTTCAGCTCCAGTAGGGAGAAGTCGTACTCGACGCTGTACAACCCCCGATGTTCTTCGTACCACGGATGTTTGATGATGCGCTTGAGTTTGAACTCTTTTCCATTATTTTTATTGGAGGATCCGGCGCGAATGCTATACTTGTAGCCTTGGTCGGACCAGGGAGTACAGTGACCGGCCGTCAGGACCCAGCGGGAACTGATGATGGATCCACCGCAGATGTGCGATCCGTCCCAGCCCCGAAGCGAGATTTGGTATGGGACATCTTCAATATCAACCTCAACACCACCGACGATGCGGCTGATTGAATTAGGGTTCCACCACGGCTGTTCCGAGACAGCTGTTTTGGGACGGAAGAATCGCGTTGTGGAACTTTGTTTGTAGATCGATGTGGAATACTTACCGCAGGAAACACTGACTACAGCGATGGCTAAGCACATCACGAATGACTTCATGGCTTCGAGCTAGAACCGAACAATGTCCGCTGTAGAGTTTAACCTAACTATATGTACTACCGCGACGGAATGTCGACAAACAAACTGCACAAGGAACAATTCGGACACGTATTAGATAAGGTGAACGCTGCAAGGTCAGCCTCTCAATTGATCGGTAGTGAAAGTAACTTCGAGACTTTTGCCTCCGTCGTGACCTTCCCCAAGGCCATTGATAAGCATATGTTCTTCCGGACTAACCGGATTTTTTCAGGGCCGTAAGCCCTTATCGGAGCGCTGAACTGCCGGTGCTGATAAGTTTATCACGTTACGTCACATCCCGTGAGCGAACTTTAATCCCAACAGTGGGGAAGCCCCCCATCGTCGCCAAGATTCAGCGCGTATTAAAACAAATGAATTAGCATAAATTGGATCTGCCGGCCAGCTGGCGACCCGGGATGCCCAGTGCCTCACGCAGTGATTGATTACATCAACCTTACGTCCGTCCCTTCGCATCGAAACGGACGGCCGGAACGATGTGTTAATATACACACTCATATTCCTCCACGAGTAAAGCAAGTACGTATGAAGCTGTCGGCACTCAGCAGGTTTTCGGGAAACACGCTGCCGCCGACCACCACCCCCAAAGTAACGGATAATTTTAACACGCTGATTGCCCCGGTCACAAAACAAAGATGGAGATGGATACGGCGGAGACGGGGAGCGATTTGGTAGAGTACCCTATGGGGAGTGCTTCTCAAAGGAGAGTGTAGCGTGTAGTTCTGCTGAGTGATGTGGCGAGACGGCGACCTGCTGCGGTGATGGCGTAATTATGCTAATGTTGGTAGATTTTGTGCACGTTAGGGTTGTTGTCCGGAACGGTCATCAACTTTTAACCCTTCTTAGATTCTGAAGGATGAATCGTGTTGATGCGGTTTCTAACAATCATGGGTCAATTATGAATCATGCTCGTACCGAATGATTCAATGATCGATTTATGAAATCCACTCTCTAACACTCTACTAAACTCTCGATTCATTATATGGAAGATGTATGTAGGGAACCGATGAGAAAGCGTAAGATAGGCAGCAGCTGATCCAGGAAATTCGATTCCTTCTGTCATGGTTTTATTATACTAACTGGCCACAAGAAGAGTTTTTTTCATTAGTTACAACAGGATCTGGTGATAGGTGATTCGCTACATAGCGAGATGTTGCAAGTAGGCATAGCTTGTACGTACACTATCATGATGAAGTGAGTGCCTGTTCGTTCGTTATTTTTTTTTTTATCGTTTGAGAACCGGTTTTACTAATCTGGAACAAAACTATAAGCTCATAACTAAATCTTGAAAATATGTTCGATGGTTCCTGTCTACGTTTATTGACACAATTTCGAACGAGTTATTTCTCTTAATCTTAACATCGTAAACTGATTGGCATTTCTTCAATGTTCGCGCATAACACTTCTAGTTGAGGCCTTATCCTGAACTGAATGTAGTATATATGATAAGGTAGTAATGAATTAAACATAAATTTACCGCTAATTAGTTTGATGTCAGCAAAATGCATTTGGCAGCACTAGAAGTCGACATTCATGAAATAGCAAACTGACAAATACACGCAAGAGTGATCGAACTTGATTTCGAAAAGCTCCAAATACACGAATGCGGTTCGTGTCATTATAATCGAAGTACGTCTACGAAACGACCCAAGCACAGGACGCGAAGTGAGGGAGATAGGATGTATGATTAAAATGACGCTATGGGATGGAAGAGTGCAGAATGATATCACGCTCGTTCATGGCTCGTTTCGTCATTCTGTTGACTAATTTTAGAGTGGACGGACGCTAGGAACAACGTGGGACAATTTGGCTGAAACAGTCATAGTGACAAATGGTCGATGCTTGAAACATCGATCAGGTCACGACATGGCGCAGTAGGTAAGTTATTGAACCAAACATACGGAGTGGATCAGAATACGAATGTCTGGAGCGAGTAGGTCTCCAGGCATGTTGAAAAAAAAGGAAATAAAAACTAGGGGCGAGCAGGTCCCCAAGTCAGATAAAAAAAAAGGCTGGAGCGAGTAGGTCTCCAGGCTAAAAAAAATATGGTAAGGGCGAGCAGGTCCCCAAGCCAGATGAACGAATATGATATGGCTGGAGCGAGTAGGTCTCCAGGCATAAAAAAAACTAGCTGAGGCGAGCAGGTCCCCAAGCCAAATTAATAAATAGAGAATGGCTGGAGCGAGTAGGTCTCCACGCCTGAATAAAAAAAAATGCTAATGGAGCGAGCAGGTCTCCTAGCCTGGTAAAAAAAAAAAAGAACTATAGAGCGAGTAGGTCTCTAAGCCGAACAAGAAAAAAAAAGGTTATTCTTAACTTGATAGTGAAAGGGTAGAGTGTGAGATTTCTACCCAGAAAATGGTCGGGAGTGAAATTAAAATTAGATATAAAATGTGAGGAGCAAGATGGTCTCAACAAAATATGTTGATTTGGTAATTGATAACAGGGAGTTTTGATTGATTGCAGTAAAAGATGATCTATTTGGATGCGGAAACGAATAATTCTGATAAATGTTGATAGATTTCGGAAAGTGTAGTGGTTGCGAGGTGGAAAAGGGATTGATTGAGAAAAACTCGAAAAAAAAACATACCGTAAAACAGGGTAACATTGATAATTTTTTGAAGTGTGTTCTAAATATTTTTTACAGCAATTCATGGTTTTCATTTTTTAAAATAAGTACTGATGATCCAAGAGTCAATTCGTTAGCAATATGTTTAACGGAAATTAAAGAATTTGCACTATTTTTCTAGTCTAGGACCGAACATCAGTATTTTGATTTGGGATTACTTTCATAATGCTCGATGTATGTAGAAGAAAATGCGTCATGAAACTCAAATAATTTAGTTCAAGAAATATGAAACTTTGAAAAAGTATATCATCATAAAACATCATAAGCATCATAAACATCTCCCCGGAGCTGGTTCGATCCAGCCTCACAAGTCGTAAATCGGGAAGGAAGAAGTTAATCTTGGGCTTCAGGTGCGTTTCGGTGATGGTTTGTAGCAAGGATATCAAGGAAGAAGAAAATTTATTAAGGAAAGACAATAGCTCACGTGGAAATTGGGCTATTTGATTATATTGTTTGTATATTGCTTGTGGAAAGGATGGTGCTTGTTTGTGAAAAAAAAGTGATCGATGTTTACTGATTAAGGTGATGAATGAGTTAAGTGTTGGTCGTGGTGATGATTTATTTTGGTTGGACATAGTTTTGATTTTGACAATAATGAGCACAAAATGAGGTGATTAATTTTAGTAATTGATAGATGTTTATATAAGTTGCTTGGGAAGTTGTAAATCCAGATTTATATTGGAAATGGATGAAATCATAATTAAGCATGGAAATTTCATAGAAAAAAACAAATCAAACGCAATATTTACAAAATATGGCCTGTTGAAAATAGACATATAATGTGGATCTGAATGGTTGTAAGATATAAAGATTAGTGGTGTATTTTTAAAATATGTACGCATGGAGCTAGTGAAACCTTTATTTTGGCTGTTTAACTCATTTCTGGAATCGAGTATACTTCCGAAGGAATCGTATTTTATCCCGATTTTTAAAAGTGGATAGAAATCAGACGTTAAAATGTACATGGGGTTGCTATATTATCAAGGCAAATTAGCAATTGGTGTGAAAATGATGTCAGTTGCTTGTGAAAATGATGTCAGTTGATTGTGAAAATGATAGGACATTGAATAAGATGGACGAATTTTTTAAATCATAAATTGGGAATTTTTAAAACCATTATGAATGTATTAAAAAAAATTTAAACATATTTTTTTTTATCATTGTTAGACTGAAAACAAATTCAATATTATTTTCGGTGATGAATGCAATGACGATTGTTAACAAAACCAATTGAAGATATTCAATAATATTTAATGGTAATCTGTTAAAAAAAATCAGCTTTGTGAACATTTTTAATCAATATGGAGAAATATGCAGATTGTTATGAGATACTAACCTTACCTTATCTTATGAGATATGATTGTCTAAATTTCGAAAAAAAAAACTATTTGAATACTGAAAAAAAAATGTATAGTGGTATATTTCAGTAGTAGTGATGCTATAACTAAGTTTGAAGATACACAAAGTATCGTTACTCCAGAGTGAGTTTCGTGACGCTCGAATTAGGGACACGATAGTAGATTGTTGACTATTCTGAATGATGTTTCTGAGCTTAAAGTAGCACAAAGTACTACAAAAGAATATTTAAAAGATGTCAGTTGGAACTTTGATTCCCATTTAAGCAGAGTATGTAAAAGATCAGATCAAAATAATAAAATTAATCAAAACTTGATGAATGATAGAGTAGAGAAGGGGAAGAATGTAGTATATATGATAAGGTAGTAATGAATTAAACATAAATTTACCGCTAATTAGTTTGATGTCAGCAAAATGCATTTGGCAGCACTAGAAGTCGACATTCATGAAATAGCAAACTGACAAATACACGCAAGAGTGATCGAACTTGATTTCGAAAAGCTCCAAATACACGAATGCGGTTCGTGTCATTATAATCGAAGTACGTCTACGAAACGACCCAAGCACAGGACGCGAAGTGAGGGAGATAGGATGTATGATTAAAATGACGCTATGGGATGGAAGAGTGCAGAATGATATCACGCTCGTTCATGGCTCGTTTCGTCATTCTGTTGACTAATTTTAGAGTGGACGGACGCTAGGAACAACGTGGGACAATTTGGCTGAAACAGTCATAGTGACAAATGGTCGATGCTTGAAACATCGATCAGGTCACGACACTGAATAGTAACTGATCGATTTTATAATGACAGCTTCAGTTAAGATAATTGAAAATTGCGATCGGTGGTGTCATATTTTCCAAGAAACTCCGTTCTCTTGGGAGTAGGCTTGATGAAACTCCTCAAACTCAGCTGGAGGTTTTAAAATACTCTTGTTCTGCGAGAGTTGGCAGCCCACGCCTTGAGTCAATGGCGGCAGG